ATAGCCAAATCTTGGAAACAGCCAAGATGACCATCACCTGAGGAATGGTTTAAAAAGATGCGGTATTTTTACACAATGGAGTATTATTCAGCTATAAAGAATGATAAACTCGAAGCCTTTATATTTAATTGGCTGCCACTTGAAGATATACTCATAAGTGAAATAAACCAGACACTCATGTGTAAATGTCATATAGTTTCCCTAGTATAAGAACTCAAAAAAAGAAATACAAATAGAAAGGTATAATACAACTAAAAGGAAAACAAGAACTTGAGGACTAGACAATGAAAAGAGAGCAAGGAGAAGAGCTAGGAAACATGAGAGGGGAAGCCATACAGTTATATGTAGAAGATGGGTAAGGCAATGATCCTGAGAATGTTCAAAAAATTTTTGAATCTAGCAGTTAATTAGAAAGATTATCACCCTGACTAGCTATATATACAGACACCTGTGAACTAAGCAACTGCACTGAAGCTGGCAATTTGTAATAATATGTTCATGCTTTGAGTGCCTGTCATTTTCATCTTCTTAATATGAGCTGCGGGGCTGGTGAGATGGCTCAGTGGTCTAAAGCACCTACTTAGAGCAAACTTGGAAAGCACAGGGACCACGGTTCAATCCCCCAGCACCACATGCCAGCCAGCCCCGCCCCCTGGTGGGCTGAGCTGGCCACACACACACACACACACACATAAATAAATAAATAAATAAATAAAATTAATTAAAAAAAAATACGAGCTGCTTGTTATGACATGCCAGTTGCTGCCATGCTGTCTCTCGGGTCGATAATTGTTCATAAAGAAGGGGGTGGTGAATGAAGGCAGGAGACCAGAAAAGGAATGTTGCGGGACTGTTCTGCTACAAAGGTGTATATGGTTAGATTTCTTTTTTTAATTTTTATTTATTTATTTGTGTGTGTGTGTGTGTGTGTGTGTGGCCAGCTCAGCCCACCAGGGGGCGGGGCTGGCTGGCATGTGGTGCTGGGGGATTGAACCGTGGTCCCTGTGATTTGCTAAGCCTGTTCTAAGTAGGTGCTTTAGACCACTGAGCCATCTCACCAGCCCTATGTTTAGATTTCTGGACTTATGTGTAAACATAAGAATTATATAATTCTTTATGCCTATTTTTAAAATACATTTTAATTTTTTAAATGTTTTTTCATCATATTCTGTAGTGACTTAAAGTTCAACATATCAATACTTGATGAAAAATACGTGTTGCATGTTATGCCTAAGATGTTTGATATTCAGACAGATAGTGAGGTTAAGCTTAACAGCCTAGGTTGTATGGTAATAACAATAAGCTTCTCTTTTGGAGGCTTAACAACCTAAGTTTGCAGACCAAAATTAGAGAAGAAGGAGGGCCACAGGGAAAGCCAACATTTAGGTCCTAGTTTTCCAAGGTCAATTAAGACTCAGGACATATGAGAACTTGTACTGTAATGTCACGCAACTTGGTAGCGTCCCAAATTTTCTGATCAAGGAGATTATGGGGCCAAAGAGGAATGTGATCGATGATGTAGAGTGTGCCTAAGGAGAGTCACATGGAGAGAAAACATTCTCTCAGGGCTACACGGAGAGCACATTGGCCAAGCAATGTCAATGACTCATCTACATGGCTAACACTGACAAAGGATCTACAATCTGAGATACAGGATCTCAGGATAAATCCTGAGGGGATTTCACTGACCTTATCAGATCCAAAACCTGCAACTTTGGTTGCATAGGTCTTGCTTTGTCTTGGTTTTAACGAACGAGCAGAAAAGTATAAAAACGTAGTAGCAGAAGTAAAGCCATGGTGTTATGTTCAGTTGTAGGAGACTCTTGTCAACAATTTCTGACACTGCTAGTGAAGCGGAAGACCCAATACTATTATGGACTACTGGACTCATTTAGAATATCTTGCTGAGTTAACACACCTATAATATTCAAATAACGGAACTAAACAAAAAAGGGGATCCAGATGAATGTTCATTTTGTATCTGTGTATTCAAAATGGTTAGGATAGATATATAGTTACATTCTCTTAATGAATAGAGGGATTTGTTCTAATGGTGTTTTTAAATAGGATATCATGTCTGCATCTTTACAGCAAATAACCACTCGGAAGATAGTATGCAATATGTTAATTATTGGAACTGTCCTACCAATTTGATTTGAAACTGTCTCATTGCTATTTCTCAATAAAATTATGAAAAAATAAATAAATAAATTCAAATGATCCAGAAGTAAGCAAGGCAAAAGTTCCATAACCTATTACTTTATTATTGTAGTACATGCAGAGAGTCATACACTGCCAATGGTGATAAACAGAGTTATAGTCTTACTAATCAGAGTCTCCTTGGCTTATGTAGATGGCTTGCCCAGTCCAGCTACTTCTAAATAATCATGTTTTGAGTGTGCTTACAAATGTATTAATGACTTGAAGAAAGTGTTGTGGTTTGTGCATGTGTGTGTGTATGTTCCCCTTTATTTTAATACACGGATCCTATACTAATCCAGTCCTTGCTTTTTATACTTGCTACTATTGTAACTATACCACGGTACCTTGGTTCACAAACTTAATTTGTTTGAATTTGGCAAAGATGGCCACATTTGTGTTTGTGTGGGAAGGATAGCCTTGGTCGTATTTGTTACCTGATTGGCATTTGTAAACAAAAGTGTTTATGAAAGAAGGCACTGCTGTGTTTGTATTTTAGTAAAGTTCCTTCTCATCCTTTCTAATAATTTTTATGGCTTCATTTAGTGAATACGCAATAATTTATGTCATTATTTCTCCCAAGTAGCAAACATTTAGACTCTTTTCAAATTGTTCATGTAAGTAAACAGGAAATTTATTTTTCTTTGTAGTAACTTCTGTGTAGCTTTTTTTTTTTTGTACTGAGGATCAAACTCAGGATCTTGCGCTTGCCAGGCAGGCGCTTGTGCCACTGAGCTATCTCCCCGGCCCCTGTAGTTACCTATATATATTTAAGAATGATTTTTAGATCTTAGGTTGTTGGGTCAGGTGTGTATACTTGCAAATTTTTGACCGAGGAGCTAGACACAACAATGCATGCATGTACTCCCAGCTACTCAGGAGGCTGATGTGGGCTGACAGCTGGAACCGAGGAGTTTGAGGCCCACAGGGCAACAGAGGGAGACATCAGCCCAAGAAGAAGGGGAAAACAAGGACAGATATCACTAAATTGCCACTCAAAAGAAGGCAGTAGTCATGTGCCCAGCAGGTATTTTTTCAAGTTATTTGTAGCTGCCAGGACTGTCTCCTAAAACCCCCTACAATCTGGAATCTGGAGTTTTGTGTTGATCATTTGCTTTGTGGTTGCAGAACAATGAGATGGTGGAGCTGCAGAGAATACGGATGAAAGATGAAATCAGAGAGTATAAGTTCCGGGAGGCCCGGCTCCTGCAGGACTACACGGAGCTGGAAGAGGAAAACATCACACTGCAGAAACTCGTGTCCACGCTGAAACAGAACCAGGTGAAGTCTCAAAGGACTTTTTGAGTTTTACCCCCAGGGGTCCATTCATTACTAGGAGAGAACTTGTCAAAAAGTGTAAACACACCTCCCCTCCCTACAATGAATATGTGCCAAGATTTCCCAGCCTGCCGTTTCCGTTGCAGTGTGGAGGGCGGTGGCCACGCTGCCAGTCCTGTAGCTGGCGGCAGCTCCTTCTGGGGTCAACTGATGCTCACATAAGGGCGGAGAGGCTTTCCCTGAGCCTTTCCTGACCACCTGCAGGGCCTGCGGGGCCTTGAACTATCACTCCCTGCACCCTTCACCCAGGCCCCTCTACCAGGGATTGAAACTTGGGGACTCACAAGTTGTGGGGAAAAACAAAAGGGAACATTTATACATCACTTTCTGTGGGCCATATGATGGATTTTCCAATTAAATGTCTAATTAATCAATTGAAAATTATTTGTGTGTGTGTAGTAAGCTGTTCTGGCTTATTCCCTGATGAATGGGTGGACTCTAAGCCCCGGGTCTGTTCCAGGTAAGGAAATCCTGTTTTTTCCCCTCTTACTGGCCTTTATTTACAGACATTAGCATCTATCATACATGATCTGATTTGTGGGGTACGGTGTTGGCACATGCCTATAATCCTAGCACTGAGGAGGCTGAGGCAGGAGGATCACCATGAGTTCAGGGCCTGTCTAAATTACACAGTGAGACCCTGTCTCAAAAAAGAAGCAGAAGAAGAAAAAGTAAAACTAAACAGTTTCTTAGCATGTAACCACAGGATGTCTTTGTTGCTTTTTCTAGCTTATTTTTTCATTTGCAGCAGTTGTTTTATCTGCAAGTGTTTCTGTTTCAAACATCCTGAAGGCTGAAGCGCTGTGAGGGACATCTGGTGGGTACAAAGGACTTTCTCTAAGCAGAGTGGCCGTGGACAGGAGGCTCTGAGTAACAGGAGGCCCAAGGTCGGCGCCTGCGACAGCTCCCAGGGAGGGCCCCTCCACAGCTGGGCTTTCATGACAGAGAAGTCCTTCAGGCAGCCTCCTGCTTGATTCCAGTTCAGGGAACGTTACACTGCCGAGAGCACACGCCTGCCCTGTTCCCGGGGCCACGGGCCACTGCTCCTCCATTTTATGTCCGAAGCACATAACAGCGCTCTTTCTTATCCTACTCTCAGTCATGTTTTATTGAGATCATGTTCTTATCATAATCTTTTAATCTGTCCCTGGGTATAAGAATTTTCTCTTTATCCATAATGAAGTAAAACAGGATAATAGGAGTGATCAAGTCTTTTTGCATTTGATAAGTTATTACAAAATCTAATCCTATAGGTAACTGAAGCAGCAGTGTCCCAAGTTCAAGCCGAGCCCCTGGGTTCAATGCCTGGTACGGAAAGACTAACCCATTCCTGACTTACTAGGCAAACAGTGCCTCCTCCTCCCCCTCCCCCTCC